GGGATAAGCTACTTACATGGCTTGAAAAAACCAAAACTATTCCACCCAGTCAGCATGGTTTCATGGCAGGGTCTTCCACAGCCACCAACCTTGCTGACTTAGTTTTTGATTGGACTCTAGCTTTGAACAGAGGTGAATCAGTAGACATTGTTTATATAGACCTTTCGAAAGCATTTGATCGAGTTGGTCATAAGAAGCTTGTGTGGAAACTGGAGCGAATCGGTGTGAGTGGTAACCTTTTGAAATGGTTTGATATCTGTGTAATAGAGCCATGACAGTCAAGGTAGGGCACTATTGCTCGGATAGACAAGCTTGTGTTAGTGGTGTTCCACAAGGAGCAGTTCTTTCTCCATTACTTTTTCTGGTTTATACCGCTGATCTCCCGTCGATCTTGAGAACATCCGAGCATATAAAAATTCAAATGTATGCGGACGATATTAAGATCTACGGGAGCTATAGCGCGAAAAATCGTGATGGAGTTAGATCTGCAATAGAGCATTCCCTGGAAAGAATGATAGAGTGGGCATCATTCTCTGGCATCCCAGTAAATTTGAATAAAGTTTCGTCATGCATTTAGGTGATAACGAGAATCCTGTTTATGAGATAAGTGGAACGGTGTTGAAGAACTGTTTCATTGCTAAGGACTTAGGAGTTCTAATAGATAATGACTTGAAGTTCTCGCATCACATTGACAACGTAGTTAATAGAGCATACTCAGTTTTTTTTCTATCCTACGATCTGTTCATACCGACAACCCATTGATATTGAAGCGTTTATATAAAGCGTACGTTTTGCCTCACCTCGAATACTGTTCTGTGATATGGAATCCTTTTTCAAAAAGAGACATTTAGAGGTTAGAAAAAGTTCAACAAACATTTACTCGCATTTTGTTTCTGAGATGTCGTAAAAGATTAGCTTTCGATGAAATGCCTAGATATGAAGAACGCCTCAAGTCTTTGGCAATGAAGAGTCTGGAATTTAGACGAACTTATCTAGATCTTATTTTCGCTTTTCGCCTCCTTCGTAAGGAAATTAGGCTTAGCGCAAGTAAGTACTGAATTTTCAGACCTAGTAGTAGGACGGGTGGGTTTAACATTCATTACCCACGTATTTATAGGAAACGCTTTCTAGGAACATTTAATACTCTTTTTTACAGAACACCTAGATGGCTTAGCAGGCTTCCACTTTCGACGTTATCATCTGTTGAATCAGCTGCTTTTAAACGTAGATTAGCGCAAGTTGACCTATTACAAGTTAAGGGTTTTCATAACTACTGAAACTATTTTCGCTTCCCGGTTTTTTTCAGGAATGTCGCGTCCCTTTTTTCTGTCGTCCTCCAACACGACACATAATTTCACATAGTTTTGTTTGTAAAGTGTGGTGTTACTAACATTTGATATATATCATTATTTACGTTTTAGTTTTTTTCCTGTCACTAACCCCAATTTTCTGGCCGACCACACACCGCTAGGTTCGTCGTCCTGAAATTGACTTGAGAGTTTTCTTGGAGAACTTGACGTTCATTGACCACATGCTCCATGTCTGAGGGAAATTGCTTCATACATACATACATACGCGTCTGGCTTTTCCCCTGCTACTGTACTGGGTGTGTGGTCGATTGGTTATCTGCTGTGTTTTCTGCTCTTTTTTGGCGCACTTCTAAGTGCATTTAAATAAATAAATAAATAAATAAATTTCGTACGAACAACTTGGTTGTCAGGGCCAACACATCACATATGATGACGAAAAGTCTGATGATAGATTGGTTGAAAAGTTGTGTCGTACCTGGCAGCTCTGACAAGATTTTCCTGTTGGTAGATTCTTGGAGCGCTTTCAGAGATCATGCCCATTACTTCCGCCATTCCTTCTGGTAAACACATAAAGATAATGAACATACCGCCAGGGACCACGTCCCAAATTTAACCTCTTGACGTGTTTTCTTGCCTTTCAAGGTAATGTACAAACGATTTACCTCTCATGTCCTCGTCCACGATCTGGATTATACTGTTGATGCTCGCGATTCCATCCTAAGGTTCTTATCTTTGATTTACCATCAGTTTACTGCATTATTGTGAACGAATGCGTAGTGGAAGAAACCGATTGCACCACTCGCTGCACCGTTTTTTCACGAAAATTTCGAAACGCCCGCGCAGTACTGCTTCCCTTCCAATTTGATGGGAGACTGTGAACATTCGGATTGTTCAGAAGTAGTCTTCATTCGTTGCTCTCATTGTGAAAAATGCCTATGTTTTGCACATTTTGTCCTCTCCTTTGATCAGTGCACATAGACGTTTGAAAACATAGATAATAGAACTTTTTTGAAGAGATTTGCAGTTAGAAGAAGGAAGAAGTAATGTATAGACGATGCCCATGCTCATACAAATTTTTTGTATGACCAGCAAAACGAAAACCACCACAGGAGATTCGAACCTGGGAGCCTCTGCCTGCAAGACCGCCACACTAACCACTACACCAGACGGCACACAGCGGTGTGCTGTCCTTGATTGTACTTGTATCGACTTTCGCCCTCTAGAAACCCTCATAACTCCTCGCCCAAAAACGCGCCGCAGATAAGAAAGGCAGATTTGAAATCAGCGTTCGAAGCCCTACAAAATGATACCCACCTCATTCTGAAATGCCACTTCGACCCACCTTCCTTCCCTTGTTAGTTCCGAGCAATTTTGTGATTTACGCCCAGCTACAGTAAGACTACTGTAACCCGCCTCTATGGCCTTGTAGCGAAAAATGATTATCATATTAAGATTGAAATATCTCGGTCGCGCATCCTGATCGGTCGTGTTTGCCGCCACTCTCATATTTTCTCCTATTTTCTCACTTTCTCACTTCATTTTACCGTAGTCACCGCTTTTTTCTCCTACGATCATCACAGTTGCTTGTGAACACCTATTGGTTGATTTTGTTTTGCTTCCAATTTATATTTAGTGCCTCCTTACTCCTTTTCTTCCGAATTCTTCTTGTCGTCTTTGTTACCTCCGTCCTCGATCGATACGTTGAGTCATGCCGGGTGGTCGTGCAAGTAGATCAAGCACTCAGCAGAGTTCGTCGCACTTTACTAGGACAAAGAATTCTGTTTCGCACTTTCAACCCGCACCGGTAGATCAAAGCGTCAACAGCAGAGAAGAGGATTTCAGCGCCTGAATGCCATCGAGATTGTGGGTTCGATAAAAGAGGAACACCGATCCTCTTATCGAAAAATGTTACTAGTCTTTCGATCTAAGATACCGCTAGGCGTCAAAACGGAAAAAAAAACAAAGGAGTTTCGTATTGGTCGGATTGCCGGAATCTAATCCGAATGAATCTCTTCTTGGAAGAAAAGGAGAACTCGAGAGGGGTGTTGCCGATCTTAGAAGCTCTGCAAGTGGACGGGTGGCCTTGCGAGATATACAGAATGGGGAGGTTTGATACAACGAGAGCGCGACTCGTCAAAATTGTCTTCCCGACCCATTCTCACTGGGCGCAAGCCCTTACCAACATCATCCTCTAAGGCATTCTGGCTTTGCTAATATTTACATCCGTAGAACTATGACTGTTATAAAGCGCGCGCAGGAATTTTCGTTGCGACAGGAGGCTCGCGAAAAGAACACAGGCAAGAGCGTTAAGCAGTGGGTCGTCTATAGAGGGGGAGCTCTGCGCACTTCAAACCTACCTAGCCGTCGCTTTTCGAAAACGCCTGAATTTGCCTGGTTTGTCTGCCTCTCTTCGCTTCTTTCTCTTCAATTAACGCAGCATGGTAAACAAGATTTCTCTCTTGCACGCGTTTCTTACTTTTTATCTACAATACTGCTCTCAGAACGTGCAAAATTTCCGTGAATGTCGCGAAAATCCCGGAATTCCGCGAAGGACCGCGAAATTTTCGGAATTTCGCGACATTCCGGGAATTTCGCGGAATTCCCGGAATTCCGCGACATTTCCGGAATTTCGCGACATTCCGGGAATTTCGCGGAATTTTCGGAATATCGCCATAACTTCCTTCGTAATGCATAAATTCTGGATCTGAAACAAGTGTTACACTCAGCTCATTAAGGCGAATCTTTTGGTACCTTGCCTTACCGTAATTCTCGGGGCACGATTGGTGCACAGTAGGAGAAAAATTCTGCTTCTTGAGGGGGGGGGGGGGGGGGAGGTGAACACAATATTCGTGTCCTGTACTCGAACCCACCCCTTCTAGTAATTAATAGATGCTTGAAGCTACTAAACAAACAGAAGAGGGGAAAAACAACATCGACGGCATCATCACGGCATGTTCGCATATTTCAGAACTAACCACACCCAACACCACTGATTACTCCCCCCCCCCCCCTCCCTACAATTTCAGAAAAATCGCAAAAGGATTCACTTGCTGCCGTACACCCACATCCCCTCTCCCAAAATGCAAAATTCATCTCTTACCGTGCACCAATCGTGCCCCGAGAATTACGGTAAGGCAAAGTATCAAAGGTTCGCCCTAATGAGTTGGGTATAACTCTTGTTTCAGATACAGAATTTATGCATTCCGAAGGAAGTTATGGCGATATTCCGAAAATTCCGCGAAATTCCCGGAATGTCGCGATATTCCGAAAATTCCGCGAAATTCCCGGAATGTCGCGGAATTCCGCGAAGGTTCGCGAAATTCCCGGAATTTCGCGAACCTTCGCGGAAATCCCGGAAATCTGCGACATTCGCAGAAATTTTGCACATTCTGTGAGCGGTATTGTACCTGATTTTGTCTGCATCACGGAAACGTGGCTTAGTTTTGAAATCAAAAATTCCGAAATTATCTCCGACCTACCATATTTCTTTCATCCATGACAGCCTGGAAAGGAGGCGGCGTTCGTATCTTAGCTAAGGAAGAATTTATAGTGGGACGAGTCAATTCTGCTAAACCTCAAGTCAGATATTATATTTTGTGCGTGAATGTGTGGTCTGCTTCCTCTTCCTCATCTTTGAGGGCTATGGTGATTTATCGATTCCCCCCCCCCCCGGTTCAATTGCGACATAAGATGTTCATCCTCGTCGACGCTTTGTATGATCTTTGTTCTCAGCCTTGCAGCACAATTGTGCTAGGTAATTTCAATATTGATGCGCTATCTCAAAATCTCTACAATGACATTCCACTCTACTCTTTTTTATCGACAGTGGCCTTAAGCAGCACGTCAATTTTCCAACCAGAGGAAAAGCTGCTTTAGACTTAATTTTTTCTTCTGAAATTGAACTGCAAAATGTCAAAGTTTCCGCTCCTTTTGGCAGCTCCGAACAACATCATAAGCTTTGAAGCAATTTTCACCTCTAAAGATAACACATTCATTCCCTATCTTGATTTCAGTAAAGCTTCATTTCCTGACATCATTAGAGCTTTCTTGAATGTGGACTGGATTCATTCCTTGTGTGATGAATTTGTAGATAGCCTCTACCAGCACTTTTGTGCTTTACTATATAAAATTCTTGCTAAATTTGTGCCTTTTCGCTTTGGTCATACCAAATTGAATAGATACCCAGCACCATACGAATTTGTTAGAACAAAAGGAAAGATTATTCTCTGTTTTGTCTAATCCCTTGCGCCTCTCTACGTGTGATATTGAGCAGCTCTATAGATATCTAAGCTACCAAAGTATGGGCCGACAACTTTTACTCAATTTTCCGGATGAGCATGGTAACACGCTTTTCGAGGATAAAGAAAAGCTGAAGCACAAGGATACTATTTTGCCGACTTTTTTGAAACAGATTCAAATGATGAACCCCAGTTTTATCCAAATGGTTCCTTATATTTCTGCTACTTGCTCTGACTTGTATGCTGATCCAGCAAAAGTTTATGAGGTCCCAAAAGATTGAAAGCAAAAACTAGCGTCTCTTACGACGGTATTCCCCAAATTGTGTATCGTAAGTGCGCAAATGCCTTGTGTTTACCTCTCTCACTCATCATCAATGCTTCTTCAATACAAGGGAAGGTACCAATACTATGGAGAGAGGCGCTAATTATCAGGTTGGCACATGAGTTTTGCAACTTTTCCCGTAACTTTTTTCCTATTTTATGTAGCAATCTCATTTTCTGGCATCATGTAGACCGTGATGTAAGCTGCAAGTCTGCGCATGTTTGATTTTTGATAACGCAGTACAAAAAATCTAAGCATTTTTTGAGAACTGCTGAAAATTGAGGTTTCACGGTTTTTTGCAAACATGAAGCCCTACGAAACCTGAATTGAACATATCAAGAAGCAATTATAGGCAGCACGTAGCTAAAAGTGGACAGATTGAAATCTGAAAAAGAAATGAAATTTAAACACATATCAAGGTGGGGCGCCTTTAGGAAGTTGAACAAATCAAATGCGTCAAGTTTTGAAGGCAATTTAACAATAACTAAGCTGCAAAAAGTCCGAATTTGCCATAACTTTGCACTATAGGGTAATCCTATGCGGTAAACATGAATATCATATTCATTTGTCGCTAAAATGAAATTCATCTTTTGATCTCACGAACGAGGCTTTTTCATGCGAAACGGATCTCATTTTTGTGATCAGCATGTAAAATAAGCCCTACAGGCCAAGTTTCAGCAAAATCTGATGCATTCTAAAATTTTTCCCATGGTACCGTAAACCTACAGTAATCCTCACATAAGATGGTAAAATTTGGCAAAAATGTGTGCATTAGAAGCTTACATCATATTCCTTATATTGCCAAAAAATGAATGCGCTACGTTCAAATAGACAAAAGTTATATAAAAAGTTGCATTACTTATGTGCCAACCTAATACTTCTATACCCAAATGTGATCATTCCAATATATCTTTCATTGATTTGTTCAGCTTGCACAAGATTGGTATATCTCTTTATTTGACCAACGTTTCGGCAGTATCGCCTTCTTCGGGGTCTGAAAAAGTCGTGACCATGTAAACTGTCCAGTCAGCAACTTCGTCACGATCAAGCAAATTGTCCAACCTGTTAGCGAATCAAAGGAGTACAAATGACAAGATCGGGTCATTGCTCTGTCAACAATTCAATGCTGATACATTATCCCAATGACTGACCACCATTCTTCCAGATCTAACAACTTGGTCTCGGCCTGTTGTTAGCGGAGAAGCCACAGAGGCTCTGGTAAGGAGCCAGCTCTTGTGTAATGGCTAGGCACTCATCTTTTCTATTCATTTTCGGACTTTCCGTCGCAATCCAAAACGCTTCTAAAGTTTTGCGCTTTAGGATTTCGGGCTCATAAGCTAACTGTGACCTCCACGCTTAAATTTGCGTCTTCGTGGCGCTGCCTGCGGTGCATGCCCAACGGCGTGGTGGGATTTGATCTTCTGAGCCCATCTAAGTGTTCTTTTATGCGTGTGCACAATGGGCGTCCGGTTTCACCTATATACGATTCTTTGCATGATTGGCATGTAATACGGTACACTACACCAGAAACCATACAATCACCTTGTTTGCCAAACGGGAGATCCTACAGCTGGGAATCGTACATAGAAAGTCATAAAGTCATACATAAAAAAGCGCATACATAAAAAGCGCCGACAAAATAGTACCGAAAAAGCAGAAGCTGAAACTAAGATTCCATTTTGCTTGCCATTTGTGTCAGAAGAATTGAGTATGATAGTCAGAAAGTTATTAAAGCGAGCGGAGCTAGAAGATTGGGTAAGAGTCGTCGACATACCGCCTGCGAATCTCAAGCATCAACTTGTTCGCAGTCGCGCGTATGACAGACTATGTACGACTCCCAGCTGGAGGATCTGCCCGTTTGGCAAACAAGCTGATTGTATGGTTTCTGGTGTAGTGTACCGTATTACATGCCAATCATGCAAAGAATCGTATATAGGTGAAACCGGACGCCCATTGTGCACACGCATAAAAGAACACTTAGATGGGCTTAGAAGATCAAATCCCACCACGCCGTTGGGCATGCACCGCAGGCAGCGCCACGAGGACGCAAATTTAAGCGTGGAGGTCACAATCTTAGCTTATGAGCCCGAAATCCTAACCGCAAAATCTTAGAAGCGTTTTGGATTGCGACGGAAAGTCCGAAAATGAATAGAAAAGATGAGTGCTTAGCCATTCCACAAGAGCTGGCTCCTTACCAGAGCCTCTGTGGCTTCTCCGCTAACAACAGGCCGCGACCAAGTTGCTAGATTTGGAAGAATGGTGGTCAGTTATTGGGATAATGTATCAGCATTGAATTGTTGACAGAGCAATGACCCGATATTGTCATTTGTACTCTTTTGATTCGCTAACAGGTTGGACAATTTGCTTGATCGTGACGAAGTTGCTGGTTGGACAGTTTACATGGTCACGACTTTTTCAGACCCCGAAGAAGGCGATATTGCCGAAATGTTGGTCAAATAAAGAGATATACCAATCTTGTGCAAGCTGAACAAATCAGTGAAAGATATATACACTTACACGATGCCGAGATTAATTGATAATCGATCCTGGATCATTCCAATATACTTTCCAACTTTCGTTCCATTAGTATCACAGCACCATCCGGAAAGAAACGTATCCTAGAAAAACTCATCAAAGACAAACTTACTGACTGGTTTTGAAAGTAACAAAATTAATCCTGCGGTACAGTATGGTTTCTTGCGCGGCGGATCCACCGCTAGTCCGCTTTGTGATTCTGTTTATGACTGGGTCACAGCTCTTAACAGTGGGAAATCAGTCGATATCATCCTCTTTGATTTATCTAAAGCTTTTGACAGGGTCGATCACAGTAAGCTACTTTAAAACTCGAAAAATATGGCATTCGAGGTCAACTTTTATTTTGGCTAACCTCGTATTTGACTGACCGAGGTATAACCGTTTGCCTTGGAAACTCTAATTCTCAGCGACACCACTGTAAGAACGGAGTGGCGCAAAGGGGTATACTCTCACCGCTTCTTTTCCTCATCTATACTGCAGAATTTCCCAAATTCCTAACGACATCTTGAAATCAAAGTTCAGGGTCGGTAGTAAACCTGTCGAAACGCGCAGCTCAAACTCAAAGTTAACTTAATTTAACTCTGAGTTAACACGCACCTTTCAGGAACCATTAACACCTGCATAAACAAAGCGAACTAGGGAGAGGGTTATGTAGCAGGGTACCCAACTAGGCGTAATTTATCTTAAAGGCAGCATCCAGGCAGAATCTCTACTTCTCTTTTTTGCCTTATCCAAGCTTCTTCATGACGCTGATTCCAAATGTGGCAGCCGAAATGTGTGGATTTCCTCAAAAAAGCCATATTTGAGACAATTTTGTGAAAAGCGTGGACGAGTTCTCTCACTGCTATCTTCTCAGGCATTCGCGGTTGACAACCGCCGGAGATCCGCCCACTTTCGGTTTGTTTCGGGACAAAGTTGTGTCCTGCCGTTGTCCCGACTACACCTGCAATTTGGTCGGGATTGTTCCGGCGCGTATCAGTAATATCTCCTCCATGACGAAGGCGGTCGCCCAAATAGGTTGACAGCATGCAAGGCTGACGCGCACGCGGCGCGCGGGCAATTGTCAACCACGGGTCGCGCGCACGCTCGCGTGAATGACCGCTGACCGAGCGTGCGCGCGCCCTGTGGTTGACAATTGCGCGCGCGCCGCAGCTTTCAACCTATTTGGGCGACCGCCTTCGTCTTGGAGCAGATATTACGTATCTTGTGAGTCGTTCGGGTTTAACCGGACGTGCTTGACAAGTGCTGACAGGTATTGGAAGGACGCCATCATTCGCGATCAAGCTCATTTTCATTTCTGCATGCAGTAACGATAGCCGGCTCCTCCGTATTACATATCCTATATTTACTACTTGTATCACGTCGTTTTTTGGTTTTTGTTTCCTCAGTATTTTTAACGCAATTCACTACCTCTCATTCATCTCAACAGAATATCGTTTTCAGTTAGAACCTGTGTATAATCAAAGAAGAAGATGCTTGTCTACTGCTGAACTTAATAAAAGTATTGCGACTGCGTATTGCAAATCTCAGGCCTTATTTAGGGTATGTTTAGGCGATTTTTTTACATTTTATTAAAGTATTCAATTAATTCCACTTCAAACGAGCAGTGCATTTTGCTCAGAATTGTAACCTACCGTTCTAAACATACTCTTTTGCTCTAACCTTTAAGCAGATCACTTGTGGATGCAGAACTTCCGTCATAAGTTAAATGGACGAAACTGCGCTGCAAACGCTTCATTTTTCTATTTTGTTTTCATTTTCTCGTCAAAAATTTCTTTTAAGAAAATAGTCCTAAAAATCTGTGATCGCCCGGGTGGGTGTAAATAATTCCTGTGAAGGGTGCTAACGTCTACGTTTGTTTTCAGAGCCGACATTCGCCAATATGAATTCGATGCAGCACGCCTGATGCTCATGCCGCCCGAGGTAAGTCTCTATTCAGAGCTGTGATGTCATTCGTTCTTCTTCAATTTCAGAAAAAAAGAGTAATAACGACGCAAGAAGGGACACAATCGAGAAAACGGAAGTCCGGGACTTGCCTGAGAAAGATTGATTCCTTTTTTGTGGTTTTGCTCACAGATGTATGATATTCTTGTTGCGATTCTGTTCTTGAGAGTACATCTTTCTGTTTTTGCTCAGGAATGTATAATTTTGCTGCTGCGATTTTGGTTACGAGTTTTCCTATCATTTGTTATGGTTTTGTCGTTGAGTTAACCTGAGATGAATAAATCTCTGTCGATTCAGTCTCTGTTGTTTACACAGTACAGGAGTTTGAACAATATCAAGTGCGCTTTACGGCTAATTCCACCCCCATGGTCGGTTCGGGACTCCTGCACACCGGCGTTTTCGACCGGAACATGTGCTGCAGGCAAATTCCGAACCAAACGCAGGTGAAACCTGTTCGACCGGCGTTTCTCCGGCAGTCTTGTCCCGAACCAATAGCCGGATTGTCCCGAAACAAACGGAGGTGTTTTGCATGTTTTCAATGAGTCGAACTCCCTTTCACCGGCGGTCGTCAACCGCGAGTGTCTGAGTTTGTCTAAAGCAAGCATTAACAGTTAGACACTATGTGTTCGATTGTGTTTGCCACGTACAAACACGTCAAGGCCTGAGGAAAAGTTCGTTCAACGAGGCGGACCGTTCGCCCATTCTCTTAAACGGTCCGCGCCCTGGAACGAAATCTCCTCAGCCCTTGACGTGTTTTCACGTGGCAAACAGGATGGTACACATAGTGCCTACCAGGTGATGCTTGCTTTTGACAAGAATAGCATTAGAAGCACTCGTCCACGGTTCTCACAACATTGTCTCAGAAATGGGGTTTTTTGAGGAATTCACGCATTTTGACTGCCATATTTGGAATCAGGGCCATGAAGAGGCTTGGAGGCGAAAAAAGGAGAAGTCGAGATTCTGCCTGAACTCTGCTTTTAAGTATGGAAAAGTAGCGTAACTCGTTCCACGGGAGACGCTACGCGACGAAACGCGCAGCTCAGCTGCGCGTTAACTCTGAGTTTGGTGCGCGTTTCAAGCGCCCGCGAAACTCAGAGTCAACTCTGAGTTTGCTCAGAGAAGGAGAAATAGTATGCAAATGAAGAGGTGCAGCTAAAAAGTCCTCCGGGGTAGATTTTGCTCCGAGTTTCATCAAGCATAGGGGTATCATGGTGCACTGTTGAACACAAAAGTTTGAAATTTTGTGGCATTTCTTCGCCGGTGGTTATCCGACGTGCTAGCCACGAATACAATGCATTTTCCGCCATTCGCCCACATAGCGAGGTTACGGTAGGGTACGGGAGTTGGGCGAAAATCACGAAATTGTCTGAAACTTGGTACAATGGGGTTTTTTGGCACACTGATCATGAAGTTCATTTTTCGCTAGGGGTCCACAAAGCGGGATTACGGTCGCTATATGGTAGTTGGGCGAAAATTACAAAATTGTCCAAAACTTGGTACAGTGGGGTATTTTAGCACAATGATCACGAACATGATAGTCATTTTAGCTACAGGGTCACAAAGCGGGATTACGATAGCTATACGGTATTGGACGAAAATCATGAAACTGATTGAAACGTGTGGTGGCGCTATTTGCCACGCTGACTATGAATAAGCTAATCATTTTGCATGGAAATACAATGGTAATGCAATGGTTTTCAGCAGCCAGCCATCAGCGCCGTCTTGAACCTCTCAGCAAGCTGCGTGTGCTGTGAAATCAAAACCTTGAAGTCAAGTCGCATCCATATGTTGCACAAAAGCACATGCTCCCTTTGTGATTTTAGAGAGCGACCCTTAATTTTACAAAGGGGTCTCTCTACATAAATTTCAATTTTCGCATCACCTTTTCAACGATAATAGCTACCAGCATTGAGAAGCTAATAGATAATTCCAACCACCTTTTTCTCCAAAATTGTAAATGTAATAAATGTAACAGATTTTTGCGGGAGATTTTTTAACAAAACCAAACCATGAAACTATGCCTTTGCCAGTTTGTGATATAGTTGTAATAAACGCAACTTTTCATCGAATAAACGGATCTCGAATAATATTTCTGAAAATTTCTTAAACGAATGAATATCGACTATATTTTGTAAATTTTTGAATGAACGAATATTATTCGATTTTCGATTTTTATATTATTCGAATTCAAATGATCGAATATGGGCACATTCCAAAATTCAAAATTTCGAATAATCGAATAACCGAAATTGAATATTCAAAACTATTTGATTACTATTTGAACTGATATAGTTTTTCGAATGCAATATTCGAATACTCGCATGCATTATTCGAATATTCAATTGCAAGTCGAATACAATACCGATCATAATTCGTCAAAAAAGTCGCCGGAGTGCGGCGGAGTGTGGCGGAGTGCGGCGCACTTCACCACACTCCGCCGCACTCCGGCGCACTGCGCCACACTTCACCACACTCCGCCGCACTCCGGCGCACTGCGCCACACTTCGCCACACTCCGACGCACTCTAGCGCACTCCGCCGCAGTCCGGCGACTTTTTTGACGAATTATGAGCGGTATTGTATGTAGAGCAGTCTGTTATGGAATTTTCGGAATTTTGCGATATTCAGGGAAATTTTGCACATTCTGTAAGCGGTATTGTACTCGACGTGCTAACAACATTTCTTATATTGTTTTGCTGCTGGTGGCACATTGTAGGATAGAATATCTGCCAAATTACACGACCTTCGAATTTGAAAGACAATTCATGAGAAGGCGATTTTGTAACATCATAATCTGGCGAACAATTCAAATAAAGATCTGTGCTAAGCATGGTCCGATAGAGGTGTTCACAAAGTTTTCAACTCACAAAAATTTGCAGACAATTTCCGCAACAGGTAGGGGAAAAGTGCAGGCGAAGTTGCGATCTTGGTTGGTCCAGCTACTTCTATCTCACTTTAGCTTTACTGTAAGACTCTCTAGTGCAAAATAAATAGGATTTTCGTAAAGATCGGGACCAAAAACCACTATGAGTGAAGTTTACAGTCAATCCGAGAACTTCAATATTTTAACCAAATCTTACGCCGAGGCCAAGAGTGAGGAGCGAGAGGCCAAGAGCGCGCTATATCAGTGTGTATTGCTTCTAAGAAGCTGGAAAAAATATGGTGTGTATAGGTATAAGAGAGGTGTCTAACATGATTTTTGGGGGAATTACGGAGCAACTTTGGGAGAGCCGATTTTACGGCCTGAGCATGCATGTTGGGGGGCTAATAACTCTGCGAATATTACAGCTACGGGGCTGGGGTTTGTTTTGTTCGACAGATCTTTGAAAATATGATTTTTAGAGAGAAGGTCGTAGAATAACAAATTTCCATTAAAAGTGCCTAATTGACAGCCGAACTAGGGAAATCTGTCAATAAGGGCGATTTCGGCGCCTTATATCTCTAAGAGTTGCAGGGCTGGGGTAATCTCATGTGGCCATTGACATGTAGTTTTGGTAGCTCTATTTTTCTAGGGGTAGCTCGTGCTCACAGCTCCAGCGTAAGAGGCGCTATATAAAGGCGATAGTGCATATTTTGAATTTTATCTCCGCGGAGAGTAGGGATGACGAGCTGGGATAGCCATTCTTCAGTTTGTATTCGAGGGGGACACCACATATAATTCGGAGAAAATGTAGGGGCTCCGGCTGTGGGAGCCTATCTACAAACCTTCCCGGACTTGAAAAAAAAAAAGAAACTTAGACACGCGATTTTTCCTCTTTCTCCCCCCCTTTCTCTCTCCCCCCTTATTTTTCCTTCTCTCTTTATTACCGCTTCGTGTACAGTTTTCCCGCGGCCATCTGGACCTGGTTAGGGGCTGAAAACGGCTAAAAAAGGGGGTAAATCGGGCTAGAAAAACGCGATTTTCGCTTATTTTTTCTTAATTTTTCTTATTTTCTTCAATTTCGATCGTGACGTGGGGTATAAAGTAGGCGGAGCTTGCTTGGAAAAGTTTCAGCTGTATAAAAGCACTGGAAATGAGCTTATTATGGAGTTTTTCGAATTTTTCGCTTAGTTTTTCAATAATTTTACCGATTTCCGAAATTTCGAAACCTCCAGAATATCGATTTTATCGATTTGTGCCGATCTTTGGGGTTTTGCAACCTTCAAAATATCGATTTTATCGATTTGTGCCGATTTTTGGGATTTTGCAACCTTCAAAATATCGATTTTATCAATTTGCCGATTTTTGGGATATCGATTTTTGTCAATTTTCGGGATTTCGCAACCTTCAAAATCTCGATTTTATCAATTTTTGACAATTTTCGGGATTTTGCAACCTCCAAAATATCGATTTTCGCCAATTTCCGGGATTTTGCAACCTCCAGAATGTCGATTTTATCGATTTTTGAGGTTTGATAGTTCTCTAAGCTCAAAATATCGATTTTATCGCTGTTTAGCTGTGAACTGTAAGCCCCGCCCACTTTTTGATGTTATTATACACCTAATATATGTATATTTCCTTTCACTCACTTCATATACAATACCGATCATAATTCGTCAAAAAAGTCGCCGGACTGCGGCGGAGTGCGGCGCACTTCACCACACTCCGCCGCACTCCGGCGCACTGCGCCACACTTCACCACACTCCGCCGCACTCCGGCGCACTGCGCCACACTTCGCCACACTCCGACGCACTCTAGCGCACTCCGCCGCAGTCCGGCGACTTTTTTGACGAATTATGAGCGGTATTGTATTCGAATATTCAAACAAGGTTTTTCCGAAACTTGTCGACTATTCGAATATGCGATTAACTATCTTTTGAAATTTCTCGAATATTCCAATATTAGAAGTTATTTTTCCGAGTTGTCGAATGAACGAACTCAAATAGAAGAAGTCGGATAGTCTAATATTTCAAATAAATATTCGAATACGTGTATTTGGTTTCAACTACAGTTTATGATACATTTATTGGCTGCGAACATTGTGCCACTTTTTGGTTAGACTCTGAACGCATTTGTACAAGATGCTATTTCGATATCTAGAGTTGTTGCAAAAAGCACTAGGATGATGTTGTTTGTTTACGAGGTCAGAAGGTCCGGAACTGGAGTATATCATCAGCCGCGGCCGATAGTACTGTCGGAATGATAGAGGCATTTAGATGA